ATTTTACAATTGATATAGTCATGAGAGGTAATCACAGTTATCAATGACATTTTATCTGTTTTATCAAATAGAGTTGCAGTTGTTCGATATAAGGCACACAAGGTGTGTTTGATTAACAGATCAAATTATAGGAAATCTGGATCCCCCCCTGCAGGCCATTTCATGAAATGTAGTCAACTAGTTTAACTACTTTAAATAATCGGCAGGTATTGTTGACACAGAGTTGTCATGAAAGTGCACCCTAAACATTCTAATATGCTGATTTGGTGCTCAAGAAACTGTATCATCAATACTGAAAACAGTTTTTGCTGTTTACTATTTTTGTGGAAACCATGATAAACTGCCGTTCAGATGTTTAGGGTAAGTAAGGTTTGAGAAAAAGACAAAAATATTACTTCAAGGACACATTCAATTGATCAAAATTGGCACTTTATATTTAAAATATAAGGAAAAATACTGGCCTAAAGTTATGCAGCTTTAGTTTGTACAACAAAACTTCACATGGCATAAGATGGATGTATGTATGTGTGCTTACTGGCTCCCCTTTTTTTTTTCTTATAGGGAACATCTTTTTGAACATTATGGTGCCCTCTTCCATGCCCTGCTCACGAACTGGCAAAAACAACGTGATGGTGGTGTGTGTGCCAAACCCTCCTGTGGATGACAAGAACCCCAGCACGCCTGTCCCAGTGCTCATACGCGTGAAAACGGCAGAGGACGCAGACGAGCTGCATCGAATCCTGCAAGAGAAAAAAGCCTAAAGCAGCATCCACCCCCGCTCATATGTGTTTGACTGAATGCGGCTCGTACGACTCCAGTAACACGACACACACACATTTACTCTCTGTCTGATCTAGAACTGTTCGTCTGCGTCCTGTAAATCGTCTAGAAGAGTGACGTAAACCAATCGGTTCACCTACTGTGAAATCACTCGTGGTCCTACTGTAAATGCTGCTCATTGTATCAGAGATGGTTGAGAAAAGTCGATCGATAATGATGACGGCCACATTTTGTTATAGCAAAGACGCGAGTCTGGATTCATCGACATTCCTTTGGGTTTTAATTTAGCTGCTATTTAAGGAATTCTTCGAGGTTTAGATGGAGCCGGCTGTTTTACAAGGATTGTTTCGTTGATTCGTTTTTAATTCTGTGACTCAGTTTTCAAAGGCAAGTGTGGAGAAGATCTGTACCGTTTTCCATGCTTGCAGGAGGGATTGTTTAGAGGTCAGTATTACATTGAAGATCTTGAAATATTGATTTGCTTCTAATATTTTTTTGTTTTTGAGAACAAAATAGGCATCCGAAGATTTCCACTGTTCTAATCAAAAGTAATTCCCCACTGTTTTGAGGAATATATGAGGAAGTGATCAGATAGACGTGGTTATTTTTTATATATATATATAAACAACTCATTTTCTCACTGTACTTTCTGTGATGGTTTTTATTTTGGATTATGGCACGTGTAGATGTTGTGTTCTGTACATTGAGTGACCTGATGTACGTAAACCACAGAACTGCTGAGGTTGAGAATGAATGCTTTATGGCAATCTGTCCTGAAAGTGATCTCTGGAAGTTTGTTTTTAATTCTTTCCCCTGTAAGTGGCCTTTTTACTGCCTCACACGATGAGGTATGTGTTTTAAGTGTTGAGCAGCACTAGATCTACCTTACATTCATTTACTGGTGAATAAATCAAATGAACCTGATATGATTTGTTTAATTTCCAGCACACGCATGATGTAAATCACGTTTTTTTTTTTTTTTTGGTTATCCTACTTACTGAATGAATCTTAAAGCTTAAAAATAGTGTTATAATTGACAATCTGTTGTATTTGGTACCTTTTTTGTTTTAGTAACAACATCGTAGTTAGAAGAATGGATCTACAAACCAACATTTAGTCACGAATGTACTACTAGTACTAAACAGTAGTTCACACAAAAATAAATTGTCGTTTACTCTCATTTCATCCCAACCTGTGAGAAAAGATTTCGTTTAGACATTTTGGTGATCGTTGACTTCCATTGTATGGATAAAAAAAAATTTCTTTTGTGTTACACATAAGAAAGTGAGTCACGGTTATCAAACAACATTTTGAACTATCCCTCTGCATCCCCGTTACTCATTCTGGCACGAATATCAATATATAATTTAGACGCAAATATAAGGTTGCAAACCTCATTTAATAAGTAGGACAATTAATATAACAGCTTATTTAGTATTTGGTCTAACGGACCTTTGGTTTTATGTATTTAACGGATGAACAATACAGTATATATTCTAAAGGTTAAGCACCTACTTTCACTGAGAGAACTGTCCATTTACTAAAACAGCTGATGATTTGCGTTGTATGATCAATCATCAAGAAGATTCTGTTGAAGTGCTGCCCCCTTGTGTTTTTGCTGTTAGAACTGGAAGCACTGACTAACACACTCCATATCACAAGCTTAAATAATAGAATTAAAATCAAATGTATGAAACTGAAAGATAAATAGAAACAAATCAATGTTTTCAAGTAGTTGCAAGCTAGTTTAGGACCAACAATCTTTGACATTTCCTATAAGTTAAGGATATATATATATTTATGTATTTAAAATTACTAGTACCAATTTAAAATATGTAGGTATTTTATTTGTAAATGTGAATATTTGTAAAGGGGGAAATATTGTAAGATGCAAAATGTGGGAAACCGCAATATTTTTTTTGGTAATTCTTTTTTAAATAGTTTTCACTACAATCAACGTCTAGATTTGTTGATGTTGAATTTGATGTGATTCTTAATAGTTTGCTCATTGAGTTCTGTTTGTGCACACAGTCCGCAATATTCAGCAATGTAAACGACTTCACATTATTATAAGCTGTCGGTTTGTGAATTCTATGCGAAAACTACATTATATTGTGTTGTCATTACTGACTGCATGCAGAAAACATACAGCATGATGTGCTGGTCAATTTGCTCTGTGCAGTTCTTTTTAAAGACTCTAACCAGCTGGTGAATCCAACCGAATCAAACACAGCCTGAATCAACGACTGATTCAAATCATGGACTGAAGGCAAATTTGTGTAATTAGTGAAACTTTAACTGTGACGGATATGTACACATGTACACTACTTATGAGGAAAACGCTTTTCGAAACTTTGAATCAACTGGAATCAATTGCTTCACAAAATGATTCACTGTTTCGAAGCACACCTTCTGGTCAAAACAGAGTAAATGTCAGCCCAAACATGCATAATTACATGTTTTACAAATGTTTTTATGGATTATCTATTAAATGTAACCTACAAATAATTAAATACCATTAAATATAAATGTTTTGTAATTTTTTTGTTCTTTTTTTTTTAAATGTGTAGTGCTTATTTTGTTAGTTATTGGGTAGGGCTTGGCAAACTAAGCAATTACATTATAATTTTTTTGTATTATGCACGCATATGTATTAAAATTAATTAAAATCATTAAAAAAGAACCCGATCAATGAAATCTAGTGGTGAAGCATCTGTACTTTGAAAAGTCTCTAACGCAAGATTTGAAACAGTATAACCAAAGAACTCTAAGGCCAGTAATAAGATCATCTGTTTTGCCCAGCAAAGCCTCATTCGCTGAAATTTTGTGATGTAGCCAGTTCTACACAAGCTCTGAAACAAAGAAACAAAAGATTTCAAGTTCATTAAGCTGTTAGTGTTTCAAAAGCGCCCATCAACTAATGTACACAACCAGCAAGTGAGTTTAGTTTTGTTGTAGTACATGCATTACACCAAATACACAAAATAATGTTCTTTTTAGCAGCATCATATGACCCCTTTAATACCATTGGGCCTCCATAATGTGGAGGCCAAATCAATTCTTTTTACCAAAAATTGTATAAATTAAGAATAAATATACTTAAGTATAAATTACACTGAACTTTACCCAGTTATTGAACGGAATCAACACTATAGTGACTTGAACTAAATAATAACACTATAATATAGTTTTAGAGCAGCAGAATTTGAATTTGTCTCATATTTGAAGAAGTTTGCATCGGGTGTTTCCTTTGAAACAGTCCGTAGCCCTATATAAATAAAGGTGATCCTACAAAGTTTTGCAATCTCCAAGAATTTGTATGATATCCCACAATAGACATTTAGTAACTGGGCAATAAATTTGAACAATAACTTTTTTTATAATGTGTATTTTCATAAAGATGTACAGAAAAGGTGTATATATATATATATATATATTACAACATAAATACGACACCATGCACATTTACTGCTAAATTACCACTTGATACAAAAGCGCATGTAAAGCGTGGGACTTCCTTAAAAACAGCGTTCCACTGAAGCTTTGCACCTAAAGCAAAGAATGAAATAAAACTGAAGGCTAGGGTCTTAAAATAGTTCGAACATCTTCAAATGCTGCTGGCAAATCTGCCTATCAAATATCAAATAGATATTAAAGCTGTCGGATCAGTTATTACATTCTGCTGACACACACGTACAAAACTAAATAATACTGACACTTTGGGTTGGCGATACGTGTTCAACTCCAAAAGCCCTTTAGTGCAAAAGAGTTCTCAAAACTGAAACTCAAAGACGACAGTCACCTAACTTGAAGAAACACGGCGGAGAACAAACCCAAAAATCAAAAAAGCAACGTCTGCTGGGTGGGATCATGTGATCTAGTGTCATGTTCAAGTGTCTTTGTGGAAGGAGATGTTTCCAAGAACTGTGCTCAGGTGGTGTCATCATCCATCTACCGGAAACGGCCCACGAAACAGAGTCTTCTCAGGAGATACGTCATGTTCACTAGTATTTGGAAATCAGAAATCCCCTCGAACATATCAAGTAACAGACAGTCGTGTAAGTACAGGAGGACATTTGCGATTCACTCAGCAATGGGCTATCAAAAGGACGACGTTTGATATAGATTAGCTGGTTAGCGAAGTATTAAGGCCTAGAGCTGCGAGGAAACGTCCTTTGGAAAATATACTACACACAAAATCAGTAATATCGTGAAAACTATGAGTGTCTCTTGAAGGAGGGTTGAAGGGAGACGGCTGTGGTCGGTACAGTTCACTGAGTATCTAAGCAGCAGTGTATTTACAAGAATGACATTCGTTTATTGGGTTTCATCTCCCAATAAACATTTCCCTTTAGCGTCACAGTCTAGTGCCACTTTAGTTCCAGGTCTCGAGCCATTCTGGAGGCCGTCTCTCTGAAGAACATGTGGAAGAGGCACTTCTTGATGGAGTTTGTTCCTTAGGTTTCCCTTTTCCTCTTCTCGTTCACTGTTGCGTATTGTTCATAGTTTTTGGTTATCTGTCTGTACGCCACACGGCGGTTCCTCGGGGGCCTGATGTGAGGAGGCACTTGGTAACATGGATTTTGAGGGGTCAGTAAATGTTATGTCATCAAAATGGGCTTTTGTCGCACCTCCAGAATATCTAAAAAAGAAACAATGGAGCCACTTAGCCACTACAATTCACGGCTAACAGATGCATGGAGGGCAGGTGTGCTGTACCTGTGGTGATGCGATGCAAAGGAAGAGTCACGTAGGTGAGATGGGAATATAACAGAAAATACTCCTCTTTTCTGTTCAGCTTGAGCCAAGAACCGACCAGTGAGCGCCCCGTTCCTGACAGAGAGCGGGAGCGCAAGTTTGTGGCGTTGCACAAGTCTGAGGAAAGAGGAAAGCACCTTTAATTTCACTTAAAAACTGAAACTATCACTGTTGCAAGGAAGGAATGCTTTTCCCCCTTCAAAACTGTATACATATTTTTAATATACAATATAATAATTCGGTCCCTCGTTTTAAGTAAATCGTGTGCACAATATAATAATTCGTTCCCTTGTTTTAAGTAAATTGTGCACTCAAAAGAATAATTCTTTCCACTTCCTGTCCACATTTTCATAAACCTGTTATGTTATGTTATGTTACTGACAGAGACACTTTAATTTTAACTTTTATTTTGAGTTGGGAATGAGTTATATACGCATTCTCAAAAGCCTTGCAGCATTGCATGGAATCATTTTAAAAAATATAGGCATCTACATCAGAGAGAATATGGACAGGAAGTAGAATGAATTACTAGTTCATGCGCACAATTTTATTTAAAACGAAGGAACAAATTATTATATTGAGCGCACAATTTACTTAAAACAAGGGCACACATTATAATTTCATGTTTCCGCATAGACATTTCATTACACCAAATACACAAAATAATGTTCTTTTTAGCAGCATCATATGACCCCTTTAAAAACTAAATTAATGACATCATATGTAGTTACATCATTTTCAATGCAGAGAACAAATGCAAATGGTTCAGTATTTGTGCATCACTTGAAAATGTCTAATCAATTGGGAACAGAAAATGGGTTTAACTGACCCTCTCGTGAAGAGGGGAGTCTTGGTCCTCTTCAGTGCCGCAGGGTGAGGTGTCTCCAGTGGGCACTCGACTCACAGCCATCTCAGCATGACCTTTCCCCTGAGGACCTTTCATCCGCACAAACTCCATGTTGTTGTACTTGTAGAAGCCGAATGACATCCGCTGGGCCATCTTAGCTGCCACACTTACCTATAAAAACATACTATGAAATACACACCAGAAGCAAATGTAACAAATGTTTGGACAAATGTAAAAGGAAACATACCCGGTTATCATAGACCTTCTTTAGGGCCTCGTAGCGGATAGAGCCCTGGAAGATGACGCCCTGGAATGTGTTGCTTTTGTCACTGGCCACCAGCTCCACACATACCATCTCACCTTCTCCAACAGTCATATCGCTGAACACCTGCCCAACACACACAACAATCACAGCCAATGATGACAATAACACCACTAGTTATACAGAATTACTAATTATTAGGGCTGTTAGTTAAAGGGATAGTTCACCCAAAAATGAAAATTCTGTCATTATGTCCGGTTGAACCCCTGATGCCACATGGATTATTTTACCGATGTCCTTGCTACGTTTCTGGATGTTGATCGTATATCATTGCTGTCTATGGGAGGGTCAGAGAGCTCTCAGAATGCATCAAAAATATCTTAATTTGTGTTCCGAAGATGAACGGAGGTCTTACAGGGTGAGTAATTAATGACAGAATTTTCACTTTTGGGTGAACTATCCCTTTAATGTGTTTATGTAGTACAGCTCACCAGTGGTACAGTTCCCACTGTTTTGTTCAACAAATGTAATTTTAAATGACACCGAGTATAATCAAAGTCCCATTCAAGGAAAGTCTGTTCACCTTGAACTGCCCCATGAATGTTGTTTCTTATGTTCAAACAGCGCTAAAAAGCTTATTTTACAGGCAAGACCAACCAATGTGCATGCGCAATTCCAAAGCGCTTATGACTGCGCATGCGCATCGGCTGGCCCAGCCTTAGGTTTCTATGGGAACCGGAGATTACAACGGCCTCTGTAGTGACGCAATGACTTTACAAATCAGGGATTGGCTCTTTCATTTAGAAGCACATTGCATATTGCCCATTGCAGTTTCTCCCATTCATAAGTATAGGAGTGAACTGTCTTTGTACCGGGTGGGGGGGGGCAAATTTCAATTATTATATTATATTATTATTATATTAATTTATTATATTAATTTAAACAATTATTATCAAACTATCAAACATTTAAACTATGTGTATATCAAACTGTGTGTTTTCTGCGTAAAAATAAGGGTCGTTTTTGGCTTTGGACTAAAACAAAAAGCAGAAGGGCTTATTGAAAAATTCTAATTCATTCTCTCTTCATTCTTTCGCTTTTCGCCAGGAATATAGCCATTTCCCCGGTAACCGCAGTAAACAAAGCAGCGCAGCACCTGATTTTGCAACTTGCAGCGCTCATATTTAATCAATTAATCTATAGCCATTTGAAGTGTATGCTATATCTCAATTTGCATGCATATTTGTTTTTTCCACCGGAGCACCACCTGAGTCTTCTCCTCCCGTCCCATTTCTACTAGTGATCCTTTCCTTCCCGCGGTAGTCATCACTGTTGTAGGTTGCCAAGTTGAGGGGACAAATGGGTTGAAATTTGTATGTGTCGATTTTGTGAGAAAGATGCGTTTCATACAAGATCTGGCAACTGGACAACCTTGGAATTTGTTGACGTGATTATTCCTATAATGACGTTTGGGCCATACAAATTACGGGAATTTTACCGGAGGCGAATGTAGCAAACCTATAAAATACGCCCAGTGGGATTTTTTTTCTAGAAAGATTAAAAATACGGGAAAATATTTAAATTGGATGATAGCGGGATAGAATGGTAAAATACGGGAGAATCCCGGGAAAAACGGGAGGGTTGACAGGTATGCCTAGTCTTGTGTAACAGGAGAAAAGCACACTTTGTCTTAAAACTGCATGCAGTGCAATGTTTATGAGCATTATCATAACATTACACAGCATGACACACCATGATTTTAATCTTATCAGCATGGAGGGGCTGATAAATCAAAGTACAAGCAAACCATAAGCTAGAACTATCATGACTGGCAGTGAGAAGCAGGGTTATTATGGTTAACTAAAACAAATACCTTAAAAAAAAACATGTTCATTTCTTAAAATAAAATAAACATTAATGGAACTAAAATATATATATATAAAAGCCCTTAAGAACTTTTATTTCAACTAGTTGCAAGGCAACATTTCTGCTTTTCATTTAGCTTATACTGAAGTACTAAACTAACTAAAACGTAATTAAAAAATAAAATCTAAAAATAAAAGAATTTAAAATATTAAAACTAGAATAGCATATAGTATCAATGACACTAAAATAACACTGGTGAGAAGACAATTAAAAATAATCTTATGTTGACGTGTTGTCACACATTTTACTTCAGTGAATTTCAAGACTATATGTGCATCCCAATTCACGTACTTATGTACTATTCTCTGCCGTTTTGTAGTATAAATAGTAAAAAAGCACCTTAAATACATGGATGATGCACTTAACTGAAAAAAGAAAAAAAAAAAAGTGTGGAACTTTGGAACTTTTGGACATCATCTTCTGAAACAAACATACAATTCACTGCTTGAACATTTATGATTTAAAAACTAGGTAAACTTGTCCAACCTGTTCATACATACCTCAGAAAGATATGACTTTGACATGACCTCAGAACATATAGCTTATTTCCTTATGTTTGATGGCACACTTGTCTCTTCTTTGATTAACCTGCTGTTACACAGCTCTTGAAATGACCAGCAGTTTCGATCTAGCACCATAATGTGATTTGAGAGCTTAAATAATGTTTACCTCCTCAAAGTTGTCAATCATGAAGAAGATGTTGGGGTAGCTAATTTTTGACTCCTCCCCTTTGCTGTCCATTGGGTGTTTGCTTGGAGAGGCAAACACTTGCTGTAAATAAAGAGAGCCACTGTTTCAGCTGCACATTCATAGAAATAACATTAAATCATTTAGCTATGGTATGTCTGTGTTATCACCCTTACAAGGAAACAAACTCTTCAAGGACTAGTTCATGTCTACTCTATCAGTTTGTTTAGTTCGGGTTTCAGTTTAGATGTTTATGATGTGGAGAGAATGTATGCTTTTTCAAAGATGTTTATCAGACATTTTGGAGATGTTTGTGTGCTATCTGGTTGTGTCAGTAGGGAAAATGTCAACATTTGTTTGTGTTGTGATTGTAGTGTAGCTTGTAGTTTCATAATCCTATGGTTTTTCTAATAACAGCTGACTGAATGGTTTAACTATCAACCCCGTTCCGAGTATTCAGTGTAGTAAACAACTGATGCTTCATGCTTTAAACTTTAAGTATTAAACTACAGTGTGCAGTTTCATAACCTCACAACCTTTAGCCTAGTAACAGCCAGACTGTTACTATGATTTTGTTTAAACAAGGCATTAGATTAAAGGGGTCATCGGATGTAAAATTCACTTTTACATGTTGTTTGAACTGATATGTGTGTTGGCAGTGTGTGTACACAACCATCCTATAATGATAAAAACCCACCCAGTGTTTTTTTTAGTGATTGAGGTGTTTTGTTGTTGGATGTAATAATGAACATAGCAGTCGTCATTTACTCCCGACATCTGAGCCACTGAAGACGCAGTGGAGTACGTTTGTTTTGAAGGGAATGATCTACCTAAATCTACCTATGTTCGCGCGAATCATTCGTGATTCAGCTTCACCTCCAGAAAAAGTGAGTTTAAGTTTTTAAATGAATTTAGCAAATCGCCTTTCCTAATAATGTGCTAGTTAGCAAGTTTCACGATGAATGCAGCTAAAGTTTACAGTCTCTCAGAGAACTGCACGTCACCCCAAAGAGGGAGAGGGGCGGGGATAGCAGAGCACATTAGCATTTAAAGGGAAATGCACTGAAACGGCTTGCTGCAAAAAGAGCTGTTTTTGACAGGGTAAAAAGGGTGTTGTTTTACACTACCGCTGAGAAATTTTAACCAAAGTATGTTATAGACTTTTCATTAAGACCCTAAAGAATCATATCAGCTTGCGGAAAATGGGCATCCGATGACCCCTTTAATAAAGCATGACTAAGACCGTCAACTCTCTTAGTTTTTTTTAAACAACTGATTACTAAAAAGCACCTTAAATGATCTAGTAATAAACACCTTCTGGTGTCAATCTTCAGCTAAGGCTAATAATGGATAACTGCAAGACTCTGAACCCTGTTACTATGATTTTGTGCAGTAAACACCTCATTATTGACAAGTATATACAATTCCTTTTATAATAATCACCTTCTAGTATCATAACCCTGAGTTTAGGCTAACTAAGACGGCTAACTAAACTGTACTGTGTTACCTTGCGTCTGAACTGCGTAGTTATATCCCAACACACAAACTGCATAAATGTTGTCTCACCTGGGATTTCTTTTTGTGGATGTGGATGTCTCCTGCATCTGAGCGTGTGCAAACTGCACATGTGACCACATAGTCCAGCTGTGGGACAAAAAGACTATAAGCAAAACTACACCAAAAAGACATTATGAAAACTTCTATGTCGCAGAGAAATAGTCTTTGGTTTATTGTTTATATTTTAGAGCAATTAATTGCGTTTACATTGCGCCTCATAGCGTCTGATCACTGAGGTTTGCTTACATTCTGCAGGATGAGATTGAGATAGACGCTCTCCTCCCAGTCGATGTCAGGATCACCGAGTCCAGGCAGCTTTTTAGAGTCTCTTCTGTAAACCTCAACCTCCACCTGAAACCAACACAATCCCAGTTCAGATGCATCACACTTTTGCTTTGATAGGATAGGAATTTTTGGTGGAACATCTGATTCTCCTCTGCACTCGGTTTAGTGCCATATGGGACATGTTAAAACAGCCAGATGAAACGGAATTGTTCTCAAACACTTATTTCTAGCCTTTTTTGGTGAGCTCAAATTTTCATAACATGACATTATTTAAGTAGGCAAAGATTAACCATCTTATATTTCTTTATTTAACTGTTTATTTTAAAATCATTATGTTGTTATATTATTATTCAATACCCTTTTTTGGTGGTTTTTTTTTTTTTCAGAGTTGCTTTTTATTTGTGTAGAATAAGTACATATACATGTCATCAATCATTCTCTCATTCTTCGATCATTCTATATCTGTAATTGTATGGTGTAACCTGCTGGGATTTCTTTTTGTGGATGTGGATGTCTCCTGCATCTGAGCGTGTGCAAACTGCACATGTGACCACATAGTCCAGCTGTGGGACAAAAAGACTATAAGCAAAACTACACCAAAAAGACATTATGAAAACTTCTATGTCGCAGAGAAATAGTCTTTGGTTTATTGTTTATATTTTAGAGCAATTAATTGCGTTTACATTGCGCCTCATAGCGTCTGATCACTGAGGTTTGCTTACATTCTGCAGGATGAGATTGAGATAGACGCTCTCCTCCCAGTCGATGTCAGGATCACCAAGTCCAGGCAGCTTTTTAGAGTCTCTTCTGTAAACCTCAACCTCCACCTGAAACCAACACAATCCCAGTTCAGATGCATCACACTTTTGCTTTGATAGGATAGGAATTTTTGGTGGAACATCTGATTCTCCTCTGCACTCGGTTTAGTGCCATATGGGACATGTTAAAACAGCCAGATGAAACGGAATTGTTCTCAAACACTTATTTCTAGCCTTTTTTGGTGAGCTCAAATTTTCATAACATGACATTATTTAAGTAGGCAAAGATTAACCATCTTATATTTCTTTATTTAACTGTTTATTTGAAAATCATTATGTTGTTATATTATTATTCAATACCCTTTTTTGGTGGTTTTTTTTTTTTCAGAGTTGCTTTTTATTTGTGTAGAATAAGTACATATACATGTCATCAATCATTCTCTCATTCTTCGATCATTCTATATCTGTAATTGTATGGTGTAACCTGCTGAGGTGGAGAAAATCAAAATAAAGTGAGGGGAAAAAAAGATTAACCATCTTGGAAAGTCTGTTTAGCTTTAGCAGGTACTTTTAAATGCCAACTATTGGAGATGCACCGATTGCAATTTTCTTGGCTGATTCCGATTTCCGATCTTTGTGTAAGTGCGACCGGCCAACAGAGGCAGACAGTAGTGAAGTATTTTTACTTTCCTCAAGTAAGTTTAAAAAGTATCTGTAGTTTATGCGTGTTTTTCTTTACTTCACTACATTCCAACATAATGTCATACTTTTTACTGCACTACATTTCATAAATAAAAGTTGTTTGTTTTACCTTTAATACTTAAGAACATTAGAAATGTAGTACTTTCTTGTACTCAAGTAAATCTTTGAATTACTTTGTTGGAAAACTTTTACTTCACTACACTCCAAAGCATAATGTCGTACTTTTTACTGCACTACGTTTCATAAATAAAAGTTGTTTTTTTTACCTTTACTACTTAAGAACACTAAAAATGTAGTACTTTCTTGTACTCAAGTAAATCTTTGAATTACTTTTACTTGAGTAAAATGTCTACATTTCTAATGTAATTAAGTATTAAATTATATTTCATATGAAACATAATTAAAAGTAAAAAGTACAGTATTATGCTTTGGAATGTTGTGAAGTAAAGTTTTCTAAAGAAAAACAGTCTGATAAAGTACAGACACTTGAAAAGTACTTTTACAGCAGAGTAAAAATTTCCAATGCAAAAAAAAATATTTACATAAAATAAATTAGTTCCCCTAATCTGGACTAAGTTACAGATGTTCTCTCACGTAATCAACTCTCAAAATAAATTCTAAGAGTTAGAAATGAGTTGCTGTATATAAAAAAAAACATGTGATTTGATTTCCCACTATGTTTATAAATGGGCATTTTTTTCCCTAACCTTATTAAATGTATGTGTCATCTTTCACATCAAATCAATTAATTCAGTTAGAATAATAAGAAACTGTTACCATTCAAATGAAATCAGTATCAACAAACTCCATCTCTCAACTGCAGGAAACACAGAAGCTGCATCTGAAGTGGCATTAGATGCATTTACACACTGTATGATGAAGCTGAGGTGCCATAAATGCATTTACACCGCAAAATTGCAAATGCATAAATGATGTTATAAGATTTGTTTTAAATCATTTTTGAATATACAAATAAGAAATGATGTGGAAAATGCAATGATACTTTTAAATATGAAACCAAACCACCAGTAGCTGGTGGCAAATTGTTTTAACAAGTGAGTCATTTATTCATTCATTCAACCGATTCGTTCAAATGGTTGATTCATTTAGAAATGAGGCAAGTGACTGTCGATTCGTTCAAAAGCGTGTATTAGAGACCTAATGAAATATGCTACCATTTATAACTTGAGGTGCTCAAAAACAGCTAGGGCATGCATGAAGCTCTCTAACTATTAGGTGAGAAATTCTTGGATCCATTTTCTCAGTTTTCACCTCTACACCTCATTCAATGAGAATTAATAGGTTCATCTCACCTTCTTCCCTTCTGTGTTGTCTTCACTGACGTAAGAGAGCTTGCGGCGCACATAGAAAAGCATATCATCCTGACGTGGTGCCCATTTCTCCATGAAGTATGTGGAGAACATCCATGTCCAGAACACTATGCGGTCATCCTTGAAGCACCCTTAACAAAAAAAACAAGAATCCAGTTTAAACAATAATCCAGTTTAATACAATTAATATTGTACAAGTGTTTTAATCAAAACGCTCCTGTGCAAAATTTCTGCCATATCTGCTGCCTTTTCTTTGTTAGAAACAAAAACTGACTGCAAACGCATTTTTTTGGTCAGATTTCACCTCAGGAAGTAAAAACTGTGACAACTGTTGTCAGATGTTATTGGTGATTTTCAATGTTATTGCAAGTTCAACAAACATATTACAGTAAAATAAAATGAAAATGTATCCTATTTCCTTGTTTAATACACATTCTTGGTCTTAACTGTGAAAAATTTATTAATGCATATTCTAAATTTTCATAATCTTTCATCAAACATTTTTAAAAATTGCTTCACCTCTGAAATTACTTTCTTTTTCCACTGTATGAAAAATATTTTAACAAATTAAAATGGTCATTTTGTTATTGTTTTAGCAATTCTTGCATTCATTCCAGTATGAAAAGCCCACTTTTCACCATCCAGTCAATTCCCATACAGTGGCAACCTGTGAAGCTCTGGTGAACTCCATGCCCAAGAGGGTTAAGGCAGTACACTCACTACTTTACATTGTAGCAAAGTGTCATTTCTTCAGTGTTGTCACATGAAAAGATATAATAAAATATTTACAAAAATGTGAGGGGTGTACTCACTTCTGTGAGATACTGTAAATATATGATCACAAGGTTTGAAAACATTTTTGAAACAATTCAAAAGACATTTAATTCAGTGTCTCTATGTCATCATTAGCTGCAATTGCAGCAATTGTACGTGTGATTGGTGACATATTTATTGATGCGAATGAGCCATTTAGATTTGTTCTATGTCAATCCATCGAGACTGAGAGTTGTTCAGAAACCTGGAACACTTCCAGATCTGCACCAGCACCCTGTCAGCTAAAAAGGTGCTACTGTAGTGCTTCAGTAACTCCTAACATGACATTTACTTCCATGGTTATCAATCTACAAAAATAAAAAAAAGAGAGAAATTATCACAGGACTTAGACTTCCACATCCCTATTTAGAAAGAGGAAGATACTGCTGGATATCTGTTCAGTTCTGCCTGAGGATCCACTACTCAACAAGCTTAAAGGGATAGATCACAAAAAAAAATGAAAATCATCATTTACTTACCCTCAAATTGTTGCATGCGCGTTAAATATCGCATGCGATTTATCGTGCAGCCCTATTCATAAGTAATTTAAGGATTTTTTTTTTGTTTTTGTAAAGGCCTTAAGGTCTAATTTTAATGTTCTGAGGCTTTTGTCTAGGGCTGCAAAATTATTCATCGTGATTAATCGCATTCAAAATAAAAGTTTGTTTACAAATTATATGTGTGTGTACTGTATATTTATTATGTGTATATAAATACACACATATATGTATATATTTAAAAAAATATTTGTATGTATACAGTATATATTTATATTATATATAACATAAATATTTTATATATAAATCTAACATATTTTTCCTTAATACTGCTGAACACAAAAGAAGATATTTTGAAGAATGTAGGTAACCAAACTGTTGCTGGTCCCTATTGCCTTCCACAGAAGTCGGAAGAAATTTCAGCAGAAGAAAGAAATTCATAAAGATTTGGAACAACTTGAGTGAACTGAGTTGAGTGAATGAAAACAGAGTTTTCTGTTTTGGGTGAACTATCCCTTTAAGCTTGTTGAGTGGTGGATCCTCAAGCAGAACTGAACAAATATTTATCATTCAGTATATAAATCCCACTACTATGTTTTAAATCCATGAGCTGAGATTACTTCATCTTTCATAACAAACAAATTAACTGATCAGGACAAGTCTGAAGTCAAGATATCACGGTGAAGTCCAGCATCTCTGACCTTTAAACAGACGCTATAGATCAACAGACAAACTTCAACACTATCTAAAAGCACTGCCCGCCAGCAAAACAACATTGCAACCTACTTCATTTTTCTCTTCAGTTCTTTTAGTTACTGAAACTTTTCAGTTCTTCTAATAACAAATGACAACTTCTATAGAATTTAATCAGAGTAGATTCATTTGAATTGTAGATTCTTATTTTGAATGCGATTAATCGCGGGGGGGAGGGGGTTGGGGGGGTGCAACATTTTAAAATAAGATTATTCAGTTAATTTAGTTAATGGAGTTGGTACTGTACTTTTACAACATTTATTAATGTTGGTTAATGGTAATATCTACATTTTTGACATTTTAGATTTTTAACATTTTATGTTGTGTAAATTAACATTAATTAGGGTTCACAATGAACAATAGTATAACTTAGCATAACATTCTTCTAGAATAATAAAAGCTGCCAAAATTAATTAGTTTATTGCATTATTTACTAATGTTAATGGAATGAACCTTATACTAAAGTGTTACCAATAAAGACATGTGCCACCATCAAAGACAGCAAGAGATACTAGATGTGCCCGTTGTAACCAGAGGAAGATGTTCACAAAAGCAGAAGTGAAGAACTGTGCAAAACACCAAACATTAACACTGTGTCGCACAGAGAATGAAATATTTAAAAGGGACAAATCATCAAAGAAAGATGACAGAGAGAGAGAGAGAGAAGCACAAGGACCATATCATAATCAAAGATGTTCTGAAAAATGGCTCAAATTACTTTCCTTTGTGCAGTGTGGCTCATTTGAGTGAGGAGAACTGAAATATCTAGAATATATGGTTTAGAATGAATAAGAGCGAGTCACTGAAACGTGTTTGTTGTGAGCTTAGATGTTGAATTTGTATGTGACTTAAGTTACTCAGTAATCACAAGAACTCTGACCCTGACAACAAGACACAGTAGTAATATGAGAGCAGCTATGGGATCTCTCCTTAGGGAATTTTCAGGATTTCAGTAATGAAAAGCTGGTCTTAATGGGGACAAACAGGTACACTTTTACAATATGAACCAACCAGGGTCAGTAGAACCTCAGCTTACCCTTAAATTACCCTGTAGAAACCACCTAACATGACCAAAAAAATCATCAAAATCCTTGCCAATAGGATGGAAAATCCCCAAGCCAAAAGGAATGTCAATGAAATCAATCAGCCAAAATATAGTTTAACAAGGAATTTTATAAATATTCGGTCTAGTCTGTATTATACATTACACCACCATGCCATTTTCAACAGGTGTTAGCTAAGAAAGAGTTGTATTGTGATTTAATAGACCATAACATAAGGTTAAAGTAAAACATGTATATCTTGACATGTTATCTGATTATACTGACTGACAGACATGTAGTCAGACAGATAGATAGATAGATAGACAGATAGATAGATAGATAGATTCTAACGCTGAAAGGAGAAGACAGGACTATGACATCACAGGCGCGAGAGCGACGGCGCGCCTCGTGAATTATGATGTCATAAAGGAGCATCAGCTGAAACAATAGCAGATGACCGCGGCCTGTTTTCGCCTTTGAGCGTCATGATAAAACCAAGTTCTGCGGACGTGAATGAGGATAGGAGCTATGACAGGCTCGAGGGGTGAGTGTTGACGGCTGAATGTACTGACCCAGTCCGCTGAGGTCCTGTCTGACGCTCAGGCGGTTCCGCTCGTCCGCGATTGCCTTCAGCATGTGCTGCAGGGACTGGTCCGGTTCGACGGGTTCATCGCTCTGACCCGATAGAGCTGCCATAATGCGCACGGATGTCATGACACGATCTCACCGCTCATCTCACAGACCGCCGTACATGACACAAGCCGAGCACAACAACACAAGCTTTCTGCACTTCCGTCAGCGGCGACGCGTCGCGTCGGGAACACCCCATGCTCGGCCTGTGATGTCACGCCGTAGGCGTCACTTCTTCTTCTTCTTCTTCTTGGTTTTTAACGGCGGCTGGCACCAACGCAAATAGGTGCATTACCGCCACCTTCTGCTCCGGAGTGTGAAACAGAGTTTTAAATTCTATTTACCAACCCTGTATCTCTTATAAAATCAAAGAATACATTACTATTTATTTCATTTGCCCATTTTATTAAAACCTTAAAATTAAGATCCTGAATTCCATTTTTCCTTATTTCTACTATCATTTTTCTTCTTTCTTGTTCATACTTGCTACATTCAAGAAATACATGAGGTATTGTTTCTTCAACATGACATTGTTCACATAACCCATTTGGATGTTTCCCTGTTATTTTAAGAGTGCTATTTAAATTTGAGTGCCCTAGCAATATTCTGTTAAAGATAACCTCTTCTTTCCTTGACTTACCTATACACTTTATATTATGACTGACTTTGTTTATTAAACTGTAAAGGAATCTACCATTTTCCCCATTGTTCCACTTAACTTGCCATTCTTTCATCACTTTACTCCATATTAAAACCTTAATCTCTGATTTACTTAATGGAACTTGTATCTCTATCGTTTCTCTCTGTAAAGCTTGCTTTGCTAATTTATCCACTTCTTCATTTCCCCTTATTCCTATGTGTGCTGGGACCCATATAAAACTGATTGATGTATCATTTTGAACAATTCTTGAATGTATTTGTAGGATACTAAAAAGAATATCTTGGTGACATGATTTAAAAGATTTCAAACTCTTTAAGACTGAAACTGAGTCAGAACAAATTAGAACATTCTCAGGTTTGTGTTCCTCAACCCACTGCAAAGCCAAGAGCATTCCTATCATTTCTACAGTATAAACTGCCAAATGATTTGAAGTTCGCTTTACTCCACTGATCCACTGGTCATCACTGTCTTGAACTAAAAAAGCAGCCCCAGTTATTTGATGTTCTGGATCTTTTGAGCCATCTGTATACACTTGTATATGCCAGGGGTATTGGACTCTGGTATACATTGAAAATGCAGATGCCAAGTCAATTTCTCTTTCTGTTTTTTTAACCTCCAACAAATGCAAATCTACTTGAGGTGTTACATAAACCCATGGTTCATATTCCTGAATAACAACTGTTGGGCTCATCTTGACGTTATTTACTTGTATTTCTTCTGCATATATTTTACTACTCCACCCAAAACTTATTCTACATCTTTCATTTTGTTCCCAACAGTTCTGTAAGACCATTTTTGTGGGATGTTCATCTTTATGCCCCTGGAGGTTAGCCCAGTAATTGACCATTAATTGTTTCCTTCTAATTTCTAGTGGCATCTCTCCTACTAAGACTTGTAAAGCTGGAATGGGTGTAGTCTTTACTGCTCCACAACACTGTCTCATCGCTTGAGCTTGAATTTTACAAAGTTTTTCCAACAGGTTTTTTGAGGCAGAACCATATACCACACAACCATAATCAAATACAGACCGGATCAGTGCTACATAGATCGTTTTTAATGAAGAAAAACTTGCCCCCCATTCCACTCCACTTACACATCTCATGATGTTTAACACCTTCTGACATTTCTCAACTATTTTATTTATATGTTCAGCCCAAGTAAGTTTGGCATCAAAATAAATACCTAAAAACTTAAATACCTTCACCCTTTCTAATGATTTCTCATACATCTTCAAACTCGCTTCTGGAATAACCCTCTTCCTAGAGAAAATTACTGTTTTACTTTTCTCCACTGAGAATTTAAATCCCCATTCACATGCCCATTCTTCTACTTTCCTTAATGCCTCTTGTATCCTCCTATTAATATATAAAATATTCCTTCCCTTTTTCCAGAGAGCACCGTCATCTGCAAACAGAGACCTACCTATATCTGGTTCTACTTGATTAAATACATCATTTACCATTATGGAAAACAATATGGACTTATTACACTCC